TATACCTGATGGGTGATTATACAGGATGAAGATAACTTTTCTCTGTGGCAGTAGGAGCAGGCAAAATGACTAAGATGACTAGGATGGAGATAACCATTCTCTGTGACAAGACTTGGAGCAATGGACTCAAACTGCAGCAGAGGAAATTTAGGTTGGAGATTAGAAAGAACTTTCTGACTATGAAGGCAGTCAGGCATTGGAACAGGCTACCCAGAGACATCGTGGACTCTCCGCCCCTGAAAACTTTCTGGAGAAAGTTAAGCCAGAAGCTTGGCTGGATGGTTTAGTCAGGGATGATCCTTTACTGAGCAGGAGGCTGGTCTAGATGACCTCATGTAGCACCTTCCAGCCCTGCTGCACTATGATCTTCGTTGCAGCCGTAGTTGATACTAAGCCCTGGCAGAAGTCTCACACCTGGCATTCCCTTGCTCGTGTCATCTGCCAGTTTTCAAGCATGCTGCTCAGCTCAGGTTGCAAAAAAAAGAAAATTGCTAGAAGGAAGTGTAGTAGCCCACTGGTTACAGTATCCACCTGTGAAGTGGAAGACCTAGGATCAAATTTCTTCTCTGCTAGAGCTGGACTAGATCTGCTGCCTACCAGACGAGTGTCCTAACCATTGGGCTGTTGGGTATTCTGGATCACTCCCTCCCTGGGTATGAGTTTACAGCATGTACTCGTGCAGCTTCCTTACTGGGTTGCTCTGTGCGAACCACTCATTCTCACTGTCAAGTGGATGAATCCATCCAGGCTTTCTTCTCTCTTCTTTTCAATTGTATCCTCACAGAGGAAGTCTGTTCCCTTTGGTAGGCAAAGATCTGGAAGATTCAACATCAGTTGCAGGACAGATGAAGATCCGCTGGGGAGCCACAAAACAGGAAGCTACCTTGTATGTCATCGTTGCTGCATCTGGGAAAACTAATGAAGTTCTGTTAAGAGAGCTGAGATTCTCTACATTACAAGGTTTCTTTCCTTATCAGTTACTGTCAAAGTGTTAATCTTTAAATATTGTGGGTGATATTCTCAAGGCTAAGGGAGCTCAGAATGATGGGGGACAGGGGCAGAGGTTGGAGTAGATGACCTCTGGAGGTCCCTTCTAACCCTACTTCTCTACGATTCTGTTAGTGGGGCTTGAGGGGTAGGTCCTGCAGTTACCTTTAGGAACCCAGTGCATGCCATTTTGCTATGCATCTGCAGTCCTAGCAGAACTTCTCAGTGCCCAAAATCTGTGAGCATGACAATGTGTATTAATATCCCTGCCACTTCATTGTGGCAGAGGTCTGTTTGGTCATGGCACAATCCCCGCAGCCCAGGGATGCGGATGCTTTCCAGCCCCTGCCGGGCAGGCAATTCTGGGCGTGGGAATTCCTAGGGTGCACATCTTTAAGTGCAGAACAAGGAACTCCATGGGCTTCCCTTGCTCCCTAGCATGAAACACATGCCCTGGATTAACCTGCAAGGGTGTGTGTCTGCAAGTACAGAGCATGGGACCCTGTAAGGTTCCCTTCCCCCTGCAGGGGATTCTGGGACATGCATTTCACACTGCATAGCAAGGGAACCCCACGTGGTTCCTCTGGTTGGGACCAAGCACCTGGGGCCATTGTCCTGAACAATTGGAGGCCCATGAGAGGCAGGGGTTCAAGCTTGTGGGACAACAGCCCTGGATGACATCTAGACCTGGCAATTGGATCAGCTGTGCTGGAGCAGATTCCGACATAGCTAATCTCTCAAAATAACGTCTGTTTGTACCCCTATTCCTACACTTAGTGATCTGGGGTGGCTTGTCTGTGGTTAACACCTGGTCAACCTAAAACATCCAGCAGTAAGAGTATAGGACACCATCTACCCCAAAGGCATGGCTGTCAGAGCTCAACGTGTACATTCAAAACCTTCAAGAGCCCTGCTGAAGAGGGAGGCCTTACTGGACAATCTTGTTACTTGGGACTGTTTTTCTTCATTTATTTCTCAGTTTATCATGATTTCATGTCTAATGTACAATAAAACAACTATAAAAAGATGCTTTCACTTAACAGCTTAACATGTTAAGAAAAAATACCCATAAATAATTTTAGGGGAGAAAAAAAAATGTTAAGTCTCTAACATCTTATTGAATTAAAATTCAGTTAAGTCAATATTAGAAAGAATTTTGTAATTTCTAGAATGATGATCTCTACATGAAACCAGATGTAAAAAAAACAGTTCTCTCTCATAATGATAGGATGCAGATTGCTTCTGAGGTTAGCCAGCTTAATTTTACCAAAAAAAAAAAATATTAGAGGCACAAAAAGTCTAACGCAAGAGACTCTGCCCTAAGCAAAAGAAGTTCCTTTTGGTGAAATGAGTAGCTTTATGGATATCTAGGAGTATAATTTTTTTTAAAAGCTAGGTTTTGGATAATATCCATAATTCATTACCTGTTGTGAAGGATGCAAATCATAAATTATTATTTTTAAAAGAACTGCGTAAATAATTTTTTGGGATATCCTGAAAAGTCTCATTAGGTCAAGAGAAAATCAAAATTTTATACAGAATTTAAAAATACTTGTTAGGCTAACTGGGTTATTACTGCTAATAATGAATAAAAACATTTTATTTATTTGTCCTTCTATGATACAATTCACTTGCATCTAATCACCTCACAAGCGTGTGTGCCTGTAGGTGTGTGCACATCACATTGATGGTAGTTCTAACTTCCTCATCTCAAATCCTGTTGCAGGTTTTAATTTGCTCAGAGTGCTGAGCTGGTTTGGAGTAAACACCATAAAAACCTTGCATTAAAGTGATTTAAAGATTCTATGTTCATCCAAAAAACAGCAAAACAAAAAAGCCATATATGGGTAGAACTCAGGTACTTGTATGTACTTATCGTTACTTCCAGAAGAAGGCATCCCAAGATGAGTGAAACTGTACAGTAGCTACTTCTTTTTATATACATGCACACATACACCTAGCTTTATAGATATAGTGGTCACAGCTTTTCTTGTTTTCTGCTTGCTCAATGGGTGTGTGTTTATTAGTAAAAACAAGTGCAGTGATGCCATGGTTCACTTACACTCCATAGTTGTACCTCCATTGCACACACATAGCTCAGCTTAGTGATCTTTACTGTCCCAAGGACTTTTCAGAACATTACAATGACATATGTAAGTGGTAACAATTTGTAACTGGTGGAGACCCCCCCCAATTTTATTCTGGACCTCTTAATTGCCTTTTTATGAAATAATACAATACTTTTTTTTTCTAGATGTACTTGGGTATTGCAGTCATGTGCACAATACACTGTAACAGTGATGTAAGATCCAAGTATCAATGTGTTCTAGAAAAAATAAATGGTTGCATTCTCAGACATTCCACAGCACTAGTAATAGCACATATGCAGCACAGTACATTGCTTTATGCAGCTCTATTCCGACTTTTTCCCTGCAATCCCAAGCCATTTTGCAATTAAATGTAATTAGACAAACATGGACTGCAACCCCTTTCAATATTCCAGCATGTCACTGTGCGAGTACTATCCCTAGAGTATAAATCTATCTGGAACAGTAAAAAATAGACTGTTTTTGGGTGCCATTATGAGGGGGAATTTTCTGCTTAATGTAATATTACAACTGGAGAGTCTCAAATGATAAAAGGAACATAAACATGACATTCTCCAAAAGCTGACATGCAGTTCCACGATGCTGTTCATTTGAGAATTCCCACTGACTTTTATATCGCACATACAATGGGCAAATGCTGCCAACTCTTGAGTGGATGTCATGCAATTTTGATAACGAAGGAGTTCAAGAAGTCTCTGCCTCTTCTTGGTAGATAAGTCAAGATCCAGCACTCCACTGGGCACTAGGCTGAAGGCCTCTCTAATGCACAATTCCCTGTGCATTTATGGACAGTTGCAGGATTCCTTGCTAATAAGCTGCCTTCTGACACTGTTTTGGCTGGAGGAGAATGCTGCTCCTCTCTGGACCAGAATAAAGGAGAGCTGCAGTGTGGCTTGCCCCATGCAAAATGGCACAAGGATCCTCTCTCTTGCTGCTACATTATTATCATTTAAAAGGACGGAGTTAAAAATGAAGTAATTTATTTAAGGCTCTCAAAACCCAAGGGCTGGTGACAAAACTCCACCTTTAATATTGATTGAATTGGTAAAATACTAAGTTTACTAATTTGTTCATAGCTTCTGGCATAGATATTGTTACAATGTCTATGTTTAATAGAGCATAGAGAAAAGACATAGGATTCTCCTTTCATACTTGCAAGGTATCTTAAACCATCAATGAGATAGTTTAAAGTGGGAGCAGAACTGTGGAAAATAACCCTGGTCACACCCTGTTCACTCTTCCTTTCAGCATCCACTCTCTGCCCCTGTGTGTGACAAGATACTGGGCAAGACGGACCTACCACTTGACCCAGTAAATAGCAGCTCATACATTCTTATGTTTAATAACAATAAAAACTTGGACAGAAACTCCCTCAAAAGCCTGTTTCTCCACAGTGGAATGATCAACCATTACAATGAATTTGTAATAAATTGTATTTGTAATGAATTTCTCAGTAATCTTCCACCATTTTATGTGGGATGTCCTGAAGCCTCCTAGTGACACAAAAAGCTTTTAAAATGCCTGACTTCATGGACAAAAAAATAAAGTGTGAAAACCGGACTAAAGACAACTGCCATAGGAAAAATCCATGATTGGTAAAATCCAGCCTTGTGCACAAATGCAGCACACCAGTCAAACTTTATAACGAGAGCTTAAGCATGGTTTAGGGACACATAAGCCTTGTGTGGATTAGACTGCATGCACAGGGCTGAGTTTCATAGTAATTCAACTCTGTAGGAGAAGAAAATAATAGTCCTGCTTTTACAAAGTCAAGTCATTAGAGCTACTTCATTATTTGAACAGAAAGTCAAGCTGTGTTTGGGTTGAAATAAATGCATCACAGACTTCCAAGGCACAGGGGATATCATTAGGGGCTTGAAGAAGTAGCAAAGACGACGACAATGCTGCAATACACAAAAGTTTATTTTTAAGATTTTTTTTTCTTTTCTGAAGGCAAAATATAATAGAACCTAACATCAATGTTGTTTGTACAACAAAACAGTTTTTTTATATGAGAACAGACAATCCATGAAGAGTTTTGAAGTCTTAGAACTGCTTCCCTTTTTTTATCATGCTTTCTTGTGGTCAACAAAAAAGTTGGCACAGAAGATGCTGTGGCAGTCGAACAGGGTTGGGTATTCCTTCAGATCCTCGTCAGCTGGTGCCACAGGCTGGAGGGCAGAATACTTTCTACTTTCTCCATCACAAAATTTAAAGGGGCAAAGAGAGTGCTGAGAAACTGCAAAGAAATCAGATGTGCATGTAAATCAAAACAAAAGGAGGTAATACATATAAAACTTCTGCAATTCAGTTGTAATAGACCTTCATCCTACTTCTATAAAGTCCTACATGACGATACTAATTAAACACATGGTGCACAAAGCCTTTCTGCCAAATGCTACCTTTGGGTTTTAAATGTGTATTCCTGGAGTCTGTTATAATGCAAGCACGAATTACGTTTTTCATATGTATCACTATCTGTTCAATATACAAAGGCACACCTACAGACCCATGCTCAGATAAGCCACTGCAGACTTTACCTAAAACTCACCCAAGTCAACAGTCTCTCTCATGTGGGCAAAGCCAGGCAGACATAGCTAACTAAATACCAGAAGAGTGATTACAAAGAGGATGGAGATGGGCTTTTTTCTGGGACTGTAGGGGACAAGACTAGGAGCAATGAATCAGCAGGGGAAATTTAGGCTGAAGATTAGAAGGAACTTTCTGACTATGAAGGTGGAACTGTGTAGGTTTTCAGGAGCAGGTTAGGTAGACACTTGCCTGGAATGGTGTAGTCAGGGTTGCTCCTGCTTTGAGCAGGGGTGACCTTGTGCAGCCCCCTCCATCCCTATTTTCCTATGATCCAATGAACTATGGGCACAAAACTGTTCAGAATAGGACTTGGATTACTTGAATATCATCTAAGCATCTCCCCGTTGTTTTTCTGAGAATTTATTCTAACCTGCCCTTATCCAGATAACAAACTAATACTTTGAAAGACATATTGATGTACAGTATTAGTCCTTCATAGACTTCTATCCCAGTTCCATTTTATCACAGAAAAAAACCCTGTAAGCAGGTGAGAATACCTTTCAAAAATCTGACTTTTTGGGATTTGATGCTCAATATTGAAAAAGGTCACAATCTAGATACCTAAAAACTGTCGCTCCTCAAACTATTAGTTAATCTTGGAAATGCTGGCCAAGGTATTTTAATTGTGCTCTATATTAACAGTGTATATTACATACAGATGTGATGGGTCTCCTATAGCTGTATGGAATAGAATATATTATGCTATACTGTACTTGTTCAGACACATAATACTTTAAAACATGCAAAGTCAGCCCTTTTAAGGTTAAGAACAATGTTGCTTCCAGACATATACTGGTTGATATCGCTATGCCAAAGAATATAGTTCTTTTATGGGATCAGCACAGCAAATATCTGCAAGCAGCTTTATTTTCAGACACTGCTGTGATGAACACAGCACCTATTAACTGTCTTCAGTACACATATGTTAAAGAGAATCTGGCGATTCATAGATTTTGTTGTGTTGTAATTCTATCCTTCTGATGAGCAATACAGCAATCCGTGTACAGCAAATTCAAATGCCAAACAAGCTTTTGACTTTAAAAAAAATCCAATCATTCTTAATGCTGGTGAAATACATGTCACACACTTACTTAAAGTCTGTGGTACAGGAAGTATAAAACCTAGATGTTTTGGTTGTGAGTTTACCAGATAGGTCTTTATGATTAGTTTAACTATAAACATATATACTGCATATATTTTACATGTATTAATTAATAACAGGAAGACTTTGTCGGCATCCTGTTGTCTGTTCGCCTCTGAAAGAAAAGGAATTACCCTAGGGACAACTTGTACATTAAAGACAAATCAGTATAACACCACTTGTGACAAGGTTCTGTCACAAACAGCTAAAAGCAAAACCCTGGTCTCATCCTGAAGGAAGCTGGCACGCTGTATGAGGTACGGCTGCGATCATCAAGTTGTGTTTATGGATTAGGGCTGATCACATGAAATATCCAGGTTTTTGTTGCAGAGTTCCCTGCTCATATTCAAACTGTGATTCTGTCTGTTCAGATTTTACTTTCTCCTTCATAAAACATCTGAAGGAAGTGAATGCATTCACACCAACCTTGCAAAATGCAAAAATCTCATTACAGTGTATTATGTACTTTTCTAATTAAAGCTTGATTTATGCTTTTAATTTGCATCTGAAACATCTCACACAACAAGACAAAACTAAATGCTGTAACTAGTATAAATTAAATATAATTTATATTTAAGTTAGTGAAATTTGTGTTATTTAAATGACAGGGTTTTTAAAAATTTGCAATACTTTTGTAACTGAAGTAATTTAACATGTAGCCAGCAGCAGAAACTTAGCAAAATGTTTGTAGCTAGAGATATGATGAGGTTTTACTTCAGTTTGAAGAGTTCTGTGAAGTGAGAGAAGGCTAAAATGTACTACTATTTAGACACATGAGTTGAAATCCTGGCCACAATGAATTCACTGATGAAATCCCCCAGGGCTTCAATCAGGTCAGGATTTCACCCATGGTTTTGATTTGTCCCAAGTAAGTGATGCTTGTCACTTCTACTAGATCACAGCATACGCTCGAGTTGGAGTGAAGCTCTGAAAAGTCTCCTTTCTTTTAATTCTGTAATATTTTCTCATTCTCAGCACCTTTTCCACTACAACCCATGGGGCATAAGGAATGCACTTCTCCTTAACCCTAGTGGAACTCCAAGCACTGAAGTGTCAAGGCAGCCTCTTCCTTTTGGTTACTGTTTCTGATCGGTTCCTCTCCCCTGAACTAATAAAGAACTCACTTTCCAGCCACAAACACGTAAAAGATGAAAGGCTCCTATCATCTGATGGCATTCCACTTTGAGTGGAAGTCCGGTAGCCGGTATTTAAGCTGTCGAAACAGAGCACAGTGTGTGGCCCTTGCAAAGTTGTCTGTGCTCATGTTCTCAAGCATCACTGGCAGCTGTGTAATTTGCTTTCATACCACAGTGCGGTACCCAGGAGCACTGACTCTGTGTGCTTTAAGTTTTCTTTATGTTTTTGGCCTTTCCCCTTGACTCTGACAGTATCTCATGTGGCAATAGCGAGAGAAGCAAGACTAGCAATAAAACAAGGGTATAATTATTCATGGGAGATTTGCAGAAATGTTTTATTTTCTTTTAAAAGAAAAACTGTCGACCCTTTTGAACTTGCTGACTTAAAAGGAATTCTGCTTTACGGGAAATTCCTTCTTATGGCATGGCCTGATTGAAAAACAAGCCCTGGAAAACAGTTTAAAGACATTTATGTCTCATGCCCAATCTTTATAGAGAGACACTCTCTAACAAAGGCTGTGACTGGATTCACATATCCCCTTCTCTTGCACCCAATGGAGCTCCATGCAGAGAACAGGTCTCCCAGTGCAAGACTGGAGCTTTGTTTATATAGGAATTGCTTATATAGAAATTGGTAAGTGACCTTATGCAGAGGGCTTCCAAATACACAAAACAATAGAAAAAATAAAGAAAATTTGATTTTTCTCAGGCTTCATGCCTTTTTTACTGTTGTTGGCTCAACTGCAGATAAGGACTCAACTGAGGGTCACTTTGAACAAACACTCATTCTATCAATGCCAGATTCATTTATATTTAAGAAATATTCCTTTGCCACAGACTTATGCAAGTAACTTCTTCTTTAATGACTCTTCATGATTTACAGATACTTTCTCCTAATTCTACACAATGAGGTTAAAAGAATACAAAACCATATATGCACCCCGCTTATTATTTTAGCCAAAGTATTGCAATCAAAAAGCTTGCGTTCATCTTGACTGCCCTCATTAGAAAGCCTTAGTGCAAATCAAAGTATTGTTTGCGCCACTAACGAGGCAGTCATTTCAATGAGCATGGCACTTTAACTTTACTACTTGACCTCCTACCAGCTCCTCAAGAAAATTTCCTGTCTGTATCTCAAAAAGCTGCCAAAATGCAGGCTAGACAAATGAGCTTGCACAACTAAATTGAAATGCTAAAATATGTTGCCATTTTTTATTCCATTTTTTATTCTCAATCCATCACAATTGAGAACTGACATTTTCCCATTTCTCTACAGAGACCCTTGCTCCAACATATTCTATGTTCAGGTATTCCTATAAGTACATAATTACAATTGGTCAGATGCAGGTGGAGGGGTTGAATTTTCATTTCTCTGAATTGTCGCCAGACAGTTTTCACTGCTAAAACCAGGTTCCTGAACTTGAAGGGCCAGTGCTCTGCTGTAGTATGGCAAATTCTGTGGGTAAGATTATGCAGCACTGTCTGGACTGAGATGTAAATGAAAGAATTATGTTGACCTATTAAAACTATGGTTTATACCTGCAGCTTTGCACTGTTAACAACACATCACATGGAGTTGGTCAAACCATAGCACATCAATCAGACATCAATTTTCCATGCACACGACCATGATGTTATTCAGCATATTTGTCTTTTTAACTATCTTTAAAACTAATCCCCACAAAGAGAAAAGGCAGTTCTGTGAGGCAAGCAGGAGGTCTATTCCACTGGGCCCCGGTACTGCTGCGTGCCAAAGAGACGCCTGTCATTTCTCTTCTTAGATCTCACTCAGACAGCAACCCACTCTTAGCAGACGACAAAATTAAACATCAGAATCTAAACCTTCTCATGAGCTATGGAATGAAAGTCACAGGCTTTTATCACTCAGCTTATTCATAATTAAAAGCCAGCTGCTGCCTATAGTTGCTTATTAGGGTAGTGATACAGCTATTCAAGTCACTTGGAGCAGTGCCTAACCTACCAACCATTCCCATGTAAACTTCAGACACTGCTTGTATTTTTTTACAGGATTACTAATATGACATGAACTGCATTCTGTTTGGGTGCATTTGTTTAAGATCTGTCCTGCTCTCAGATACAGAATGCTGCCATTCCTACTCTATTAACATCAATTGGAGTTGCACATACGTTTGAAGGGAACAGATACTATCTCCCTGTTGTTCCTATCCTCCATACATTTATCTAAATCCTTTTAGAAACCAGTTATACTGTAAGTCTACATAGAAAGGACTCACACAAATTATATTTTTTACGCACTGCATAATTATTTCACAGTGCATAATTATTTATGTTTGTTCAAAATCTGCTGCTTCATTATTTCATCATGTGTCCCCTAGTTCTTGTGTTATGAGACAAAGTAAATATCTCACTATTCATATTTTTGCCACCATACATGATTTTCCTCATCTCAGTCATTTTGTTTCCAAGGTGAAGAGCCCCTGCCTTTTTAGCTTTCCCTTGTATGGAAACTTTACCCTTTATTAATTCTTGTTAATCCTCACTGGCCAGAAAAGAAAAATTAGTAAAGCCCCTGATAGATGCATCTAAGAAAGGAAGGGAGCTTGAAAAGTTTTTGAGAGAATCTCTCTCATTTGTTGCAGTTTGTGAAAAGGACACTGATTTGAAAAAGACACTGATTTAGTCAGTGTCTAGTCAACAGGAATCCATATTTTTTCTGCTACTAAGAGTTTCTGTTGGTCCTCTCTCACACTGACAAGTACTATGGAGTTATTGGAACCCTTCACAACTATAATTTCTTTTTCTGAACAGAGTGGGGCTCTGCAATCAATTATTACTTTACTTTCTTGGATTAATTATGAATTCTTTCCCCCTGTTTTGGCAGAACCACAGTAAATCTAGATCATTAGAGCCATCTAATGCAGAGAAGAAAGACAAGAGTATATTTTGTTGATACCTAGATATTATCTTTTTCCCTTGCTGCTCACCAATGAATATTCACATTATTAAGACCCAGCAGTGTCCAGCTCAGTTCTATTTTATCTGTGCATTTCCTTGCTCTATTGTGTGTTCTTATTTACCAAAAGAAAGCCGAATACTCACAGCCTTTGCAAAGACCCCCATAAGCTCTGGGAACTGATGTGTCAGGAGAGCTAGCATGGCTGTGAAGGAACATAATCCAGCAGTGAAGAGTATAAAGAAAGGAAGCTCTTTCTTGGGGTAAACTGAAACTTCATGAAATGCTGCAGAAAAGAGAAGAAACAAACGAGGTATGAGACTTAACAAAAATGGCCCTGAGGTTTGATTCATGGAAAAGAAGCATCTAAAGCAGTGGGTGGCAACCTCTTCAGGCTAGCAGCTGGAATGACCCAGCTTGGGTGGGCAGACACTAGGAGCCAGCCATTGCCACTGTTTCTCCCCACTCTGGTACAGGGAAAGTGCCTGCCACTGCTGCTTCATAGCATGGGGAAAGCGCCCATTGTTGCCACTTCTCCCCACCATGGCATGAAAGATGCCCCCAGCTGCCAAATGTCTTGGAGTCCCATGTATGCGGGCTGGATCTAATGGCTCCATGGACTGGCCCCCAATCTGAAGACTGCAAACCTCACAATCAGTAGAGATTCTTCCTCACATTTCTCTACCCCTGATAACCACTTTTTTCTAATATGGCTTTCTTTGCCTCTTCCCAAGTGGAAGGCTGCCTGCCTTACACTCTGTCACACCACTATCAGTTCCTCTTATGTTCCTTTAGCATCTTCACCCTCATAGTTATAATCCATTTAATTTTTTTAGATAATTTAATATATATTACCAAAAATAGTTCATCTAAGATAACGAAACATGCTCAAAGGAATCTAGGGACAGGACAAAAAACTATCCCACAAATTCCCAAATGATTCTTATGGTTATTAAAAATACCCAGCAACAAACAATATAAACTAAAGAGAAACTTTGGTTTTAACCTAAAAATCCCCTGGGGAAACCTGGAAGTGTTAGAAAAGGAACATGGGGCTCAGCTGAAGTGACGTTCCCTTTTATCTTTTATGGTGGCTCATGTTCAGGCTACAACGTTTGGCCAACTTGGTAGTTCTGGCCAGTCCTCACATGTCCAACTGTTTCACTCCATCCCTACATTTGCATTAGGTTTATTGTACTTCTTATGTTTTGTAGCTATCTATATGCACATCACACTTATCTTCCACTCTCCCTCTTCCATTCCTTTGGGAAGGTGTGGTTTGAGATAAGCAAGAATTTGTCCCACAGATGGCTTGCTTTGCACCTGCCTGGTCACCAGAAGAGGGCAATTAGGGGGCACTACATCAATCATGCATTCACTCAGCACCAAATGGATATCCAAACCAGGGAACAGGGATTTGGGAACAATACTGCTCTTGTTTGGTGGGCCTGTAAAGCCTCTGTGAATAAGAAGAACGTCTTGCATTCAAAATCTTGTCTACCCAGCCATGCAATTGGTCCTATAAAAGATATCATCCACAAAAAGCTTTGTCTCAAAAATAAAAATGGAAATTTTGTTAGAATTTGGGGTCTTCAAACATTGTTTCCTTAAAAAGAAAACCCATAAAGATTATCCTTTCTGCAAGAAAATGCACAATGAAATACTTTAAATCAAACAGAGGCAGAAAATTAGTCTGAGAAATAGAACTACATGGACATCGCAGCAATATATTGCTGGTTTAGAGTAACTTCTGCTTGCCTTTGACTGACATGATGAAACCCATTGTTGTAGCTTATTAGCCAGCTGAGGCAAAAATTAGGTTTGGTTGATATTTTTACTTAGCTAGGTTATTCTTTTACATCTCCTTTTCATCCTCACACAGATACCAGTGTTCTGACACCACTCCACCAGAGAGCCATCAAAGAGCCTTTAAAATATAAGCAATTAAAGGGTGTAGACAGGCATGGAAAGCACCTTCAGGGAACCCCTGTCTCTTACAGTATGTTAAATTCTTCTCTAGTCAAACCCAAGAGATTTTGCAATAAAACGCATTTCCCATAATTGTTGAAGAAAAATATTTTCCTTTATGTATTTTATTAAAGGGTCCCTTGCTTCTAATTTTTGACAAAAGTATTTAGTTTTGCATCTAGAAAAGAGAATGCTGGACTATTCCATAGCACTTTGTCATTCCCAAATATCCCAGCTACTCCACCCTCCACAGAACAGTATCCCTTAGAGAAAGCATTCTGAGTGCTCTAGAAGATGGGGTTATAATTAGGATGATTATAACAGGGTGGGGAGCCAGAGCTGGCTGCCAAGGATTTCTGTGTAATATCAGAGAGACTGTGCTGTGAAAGAGGGGCCTCCCAATGAAAGGACTTCGGTATACTATTTCTCCCTACAGTTCATTCACATAGTTTTATTAAGAATGATTACATGTAATTTAGCCAAAATCAGAGTTGTTATAAGGACCAAAAATGCAAGCAAGCCATACAAGAGACACGTTCTGACTTAGTCATTTTTATTTAAAAAATTTGTTCATTTTTGTGGGTCTCCCTACATGTCTGTTATAACCTGATCCTGAAAACATCCATGTATATGCTGTGACACCAAGTCCTGCTGTCTTCATATGGGAATGGAGGGTGACTGCATGCAGGCTCAGTAGTTCAGCCTCTTTTTTGGCAAAGACTGATTTGTGTGCTTAACTTGATGCACTGCAAGTATGTCTAATTGGCTTCGATTGTACAACTCTGCAGGAGCAGGAGAGAGTGTGTTGTATCTGTATCTTGTACTATTGGGCGCTGCAAATTCATGGTAAGTATAAGTGATAAATGACACACATCACTATAAGGACAAACCCCCCTCTCCTTGCTACTAGGATTGGCGTACAACAACAAAAATCACAGAATAAATTGGCTAGCCTACTGTGTTAATCTTCCAGCATACTCAATCCTGTGGTCTTTGGAAGGGTGAAACTGCCTTGAATTTAAACAGACTTCCCTGCATTAGGACAACAGGGCTGGGTGACAGTATTTTGGTTTGATGACATGTTATCCTAGATACAAGGTCAAATTTATCTTCAAATGTTTTGGTGAGAGGAAAACAACACAATTTAAAAGAATTATGTCTACAGTAATCTGATTTTCTCTTTTTGACATCAATAAAGATACCTAAATCTTTATAAGCTATGGCTATGAATTACCTTTTTGACAATCAATTGAATTCTTGAGACTCACTGTCAAGTGACCAAGGTTCCCTCTAAGCTGCACGCGTGTGCAGCTGCGCACATGAAAAAATCATGCTGTGCAGTAACTTTTTAATGCCACGCACCCGCCCCGACCTGGCCAAAGGCTGCTGCAGGAGGGACAAGGGGCAGGCACACTGAGATACCCACACACTCCCAGGGTATCTGTGGGGGGCAGATCGAGACCCCCACAGTGCAGGAGGGAGTGCAGTGGGGGCAGGGTGCTCCCTCCTGCACTGTGGGGAATATCCCATGACTGGGTTCACTGTGAATGGGGCCCTGGCTGGGCTAGGGCAATTGAAGCCCGGTGGTTCTTCTAGGGGTGTGGGCAGGTGGCTGCAGCTTCCACTGCTGAACGCACCGCGGGTGAGGGGGAGCAAATTCCCTGCCCCCTCCGGTTCCCAGGCAGCCAAGTGAGGGCATGTGGCCCGGTCCCTGATCTTTGCATGGGGCAAGGGCAGGCGGGATATGCGCTTTGCCTGCTCCCTGCCTCCGAGCCTCGCTGCAGCTTTTGAAAGCGACGCCATGTGCCTCGCTGCCTGGCCCACCAAGCAGTGGTATGCACATGGTGCTGCACCACTTTCAAAGCCTGTAGTGAGGCAGGGAGCAGGCAGAGCGCACGGACCAAAGTGGCACAATCATGGACCGCTACACCTTAGAGGGAAAATTGCAAGTGATTATTCTAACGCAGTGAACCCAGGCAACCAGTGTTCAGAAATGCAGAACTGGAATAAATGACCTACCAACATCAAGGACAACTTAGAGTGAACTTACATGGAAGTAGTTCTCTGTCAGCTGTTTCTGTACAGATGGGGTAAGGGTAAAAAAGGTGTCCCTTTTCTAAAGGATAGGGAATCATTCTGAAAGCTGAAAAGGAGAAATAATGCATTGAACAGATTATTGTGAACATGACATTTGCTTGAAATGTTCAACAAACATTTAATATGTATTAAAATTTTTGTAAAACAAATACAAGCCAGCACTAAATCCAAAATGATTATATTTGAGTGCCTACATTTAAAAGAGAAAATACTTATAATACTTATGCCTAAACAGCTTAATATCCTCACAGGAGTATTCTCAGTGAAGTCAGCAGAACCATTTTCCATAGATAAAGTCAAGCACATAGATAAGTGTTTGAAGGGTTAGGCCCTCACATACATAAACATAAACATCACATTTGAAGTTTGATTTACTAGTTTTAGAGTTTCCAAGAGTTTGAGACTCAGGGGAAAATAACAATAGCCGGGGGATAATAGGCTTATGCTATGATAAAAACAGTTAGTAGTTTATCCCTTTGGGTGCCTGTACATGAGTGCGGAGGCTGCTTCAACATGCTGTAATTACATAAGAGCAGGCTTGATGAATCGAGTCTGCTGGAGTGTGGCAATTACCATGCTCCAGAAGCCTCCCACGTCTCATGGATCAGCATCCATGTGCTTCAAAATGGCAGCGGAGGCACTTGAACTAAAGCTTGTTGAATGAGCTTTAGTTCAAGCACCCCTGCCGCCATTTTGAAGCATGGGGATGCTGATAAATGAGACGCTGCGGTGCTTTAATTAAAGCTGCTCTCAGAACCACTAATTAAAGTGCCATGCCCCCCACCCCTGGAGCACATGTAAAAGTGCCCTTTGGCGCACTCACATTTTTAGCACTCAAAACTTCTGTTGATTTCTGTGAAGTTCTGCATGCGGAGAGAACACAACAACAGGTCCCAGTGAACTACCCAATGTACACAAGTAAGAAACCATGCAAGAAACAGTGTACCAGTCAGCAGAGAGCATCATGACAAGGTAACATACATTCACTTTGCATTTGACAATCTAAGATGAATAATAAATTATTAAAACCACTCTTGACATGCATTTTTTTAAGCAGAGCAGATCAAGTCAAGTTTTCAATATGAACCTTTAGGCCATAGATCAACTAACACTTTATCTTCTTATTCCATAAAATATATTAAATATTTAAATTGAAAATAATAATAGAGAGGGAGGGAAATGGATTATATTCTGATGATCTCATAAACCACCTGAGTTATGCTCTTGTGGTTTATGGAAACATCAGTACAGTTGACTGAATTACAGCTTTGCAATCAATGCATCTTTTCTTATTATCCTGTATGTTATTCTCACTGTTAAACTGTCATCCACATGTTATTCTCACTGTTTCTATGAACATCATTCACTGAAGCAATTTTTTCCTCAACAGATGTCCTATAAATACTGTATATTGTAAATATAAGATTGAGAAGAACACAAACACACATATAGAATCATAGAAAATTAGGGTTGGAAGGGACCTCAGGAGGTCATCTAGTTCAACCCCCTGCTCAAAGCAGGACCATCTCCAACTAGATCATCCCAGCCAAGGCTTTGTCTAGCTAGGTCTTAAAAACCTCCAAGGATAACCTGGGTAACCTGTTCCAGTGTTTTACTATCCTCCTAGTGAGAAAATTCTTCCTAATATCTAACCTAAACTTCCCTTGCTGCAACTTGAGACCGTTGCTCCTTGTGTCATCTGCCACCACTGAGAACAATGCTTTATTATGCATCTCATGCAGGGCAATGAGGAAATGTATTAAAAATGAATGACTGCTACATACCGTCCTATTTTCATATGTAAATATTTCATTTAAAATAATTGCGGTTATAATCCTACATTTTGAAATTACCCAACCCTCAGAATGCTGTCACCATGCATTATTTATCAGTTGTCATGTTTAAAATAATAATAAGGAAAGCAGAATATTCTCAGTGTATAATGCTTGTATTCCAGTGTAATAAGCTTCAGCCACATATGGTGTTTATTCTAATGTCTGAATATTAGTTGGACATAAAAACGTTATGTATACAATCCCAGAGCAAGGAATGCAATCAAACTGGGCCACAATTCTGTCACTTAAGGGGCACCATGTCTTGTCCCAGAAGATGTAAATTACTCAGAATTTTGCAGCACAAGAGATCCTTTTCTCTTGTAGTTTGCTGATGTCAAAGGTTTACCAATTTTCCTTGGTAGAGACCCTTGTTACACAGAATAGTCTGCATTGCAGCTTTTCAGAAATGAAGTCTGGGTATGGACAGATGTAACATTACACAGTAGAATTTACTTCATTCATATCTGGGCTGTTTGCAACCTCAATTTCTTAATTCACAGTGGGTGCATCTACACCTTAATTAACCTTAATTCACAGTGGACACATCTACATGGTCCTTAATACGCTTCTGCTAATGCACATTAAATTTAGTACCTCCACTGTGAGGGCTCCTATACATATGTGCAGACATTGCTCCAACACACTGGAAATTCAATGCATCGGAGCAGACTCGATTAATCGTGTCCGCTGGAGCATGGAAATTGATGCACTTTGGCAGCCTTCTGTGTTATGTGTATCAGTGTACCACTGTGTTTCCGTGGTGAAAAAATGGTGTTGGGGCACTTTGAAATAAAACATGTTTTATAAGCTTTAGTTCAAAGCATCCCACCGCTATTTTATCAGCACAGGGACGCTGATGCATGTGACAAGCAGGCACTTTTAATTAGTGTGGCTTGCTAATTAAAACCCCTGGGTGCTGCATGCCGCAGCACATGTAAAAACAAGCTGTGGTACTAGAAAAAAGCACATAAGCCTATTTTAATACGCATTAGTGAAAGCACATGGGTTTTTTGTGATGCTTTACTGTGCATTAAGATAGGCTAATGCTGTAGATCCACCCAGTGAGTTGCAGACGAAAAGATGAGTCACACAGCTGCTTACTGTGGCTTCATGATCCCTGCAGTTCACAAACTCTCATCTTTGCAAGGGCTACAGAACCTATTCCCATGAACTATTGGGGTTCTACTGTACTTGTATAAAAGGACACCAGTATAAGCCATTACGGGCTATATGCTGCTATTGTGCTGTAAGTGAGGAAACACAAACTCAGCACTGAGGGAAAATATAATAGATAATTTTCCAACAAAACATTGCTACCTGCAAAGACCAACTCTGAAAGAAACTAGAAAATCTTTCTGAGCAACCCCCAGCTTTTAGGAAAGCATGTAATACAGTTTATCTTAGTGATGTAACATTATCTCCTTTACGAAGCAATGAATCCAAATGCAAACTACAACTGCACTGTTTAAATAGACATCACTTCAACTGATATAGAGTATTATTTCAAGATTTTTTTGGATTAAAAAAATATGAAAATATGTAGCACAGTATTCTCCAAACTTTTGATACCTGGGCCACTTTTTTTCTGGATTAAAACTGGCAGAATACTTCATTCTTACACCTGAAAAGCTGTAAATGTGTGCGTGCGCGCGCATGTGTATTTTTTTTCCAAAACATGCAACATATTCCACTTTCCTGCCAGAGGACATAATATAGGGCTGAGATGTACTGTTAAAAATGACACCAAACAAGGTACATCTTTCTTTAACCAAATGATTAGTCTCTAAATCAGTGGTTTTCAACCTTTTTAGCCTCAAGGCCCCCTGCCATATCTTTTCTGAATTTTGCAGTATCCCACAAATTCAGAAAAGATATGTAGGGGGGCTTTGAGGCTAAGGAAGTTGAGAATCTGATCTAGATAGTGCCAATTCAGGGTGTGGGGGCAGGACCTCACCCTGCTGTGCCCTGCTCCTTCCACTGTCTGCACCTTCCCATACTCTGGTCTGTCCTTCACGGTGCCCCAGCCGCTGAGGCTGCTCCTGAAGGTGTCACATGCTGGTGACCACAGCTGTGGTCCCTCTTGCTGGCCCTGGGAGCGGGCGAGGAGTTGAGGGGATGAGCTGAGATGCAAAACATAGCTCACCTGTGCATCCTGGATGCCCAGCTGCACCCTCGAGCATGCTGCTAGGAGTGTGTGGGGAGCTGGCACAGGGGCTGCTTGGGAAGAAAGGGTGAGGAAAGGCAGCAGCAGTGGTGGCAGTTCCCAGAGGAGCAGCCTCAGGCACTGCTGGAGTAGCTGGGGCAGGCCAGGGTGGCAGATGAGGGCAGAGAGCATTTACCTCCTCACAGTGGGGAATCTTGTGGCACATTTCTGTTGCTCTGTTGGCAAACTAGTGTGCTATGGCACACCCGTTGGGAATCACTGGTGTAGCAGAATATATTGTGCTTTTCATTTTCAAGGTGCTCTACTAATTAGCTAATTGATTTACTAATGTATTGATTATACTTTTGTTTAATCCCAGGTTATAACAGTAATGCCATAGTAAAGGATGTGTTAGTGCTCACAGCAGACTAAATCTTAACTTTCTGGCTTCTTATTCTCCAGTGTAGGATTTCTTTGTGAGCAATAATGGGAAGTAGGCAAGTGGGGCTGTAGGAACCTGAACAGCTGCTGATGGAAGCAGGGAACACAGAATATTCTGTGGCACTCTCCTAAGCAGCCTGTTATAAATCTTGTCCCTCTTTTTTCCCTATGCAGATCAGAGTGGGCCTGAAACTGCAGTAAATCTCATACACCTGCTGTGAGGAAGAGGCCTAAATGAAACCTGGGCATGCCACACAGGTTGTGCCAATGCCCCCTCCTCACTGATCTGAACATATACTATGTGCTCTCCTGTTGGCTACCCCTGGACTAGTAGCATGTTTTCTCTGCTCAGTTCTGATAAGCCTGCCAATGAATTAACCACTGAACCACATGTGTATTGAGGCAAACTGTCTTCTCTCACATTAACAAATGAGAAACCTAATTACATTGAATGCCAGATGCATACTCAGGTTTATGAGCTAAATATCTGGTTTATCCCTGCTTCAGAAGAAAAGCTTTTCCCCAAGAGATGCCAAGCCATTGCCATGCCTCTACTGTTCATTTTCTGGTCTGTCCTCCATGTTTGAAGTACTTTGAGGTAGGACCACAGATGAAAGTGTTTAAGGCTTAAATTACACTGGATGTGCAGCAATGCTAGCCATAGAGTAGGGCAGCTATTACTGTACCTTGCCATGAGGGGTGTGTGTGGAGGGTGAGGAGCAGCAAACAGCCCATTTGCCTTCAGCAAATAGCTACCCCATGGCCAATGAGGATAGATGTTAAATTGGTGAAGCCTACATTGATATAGTTTTATTATCTATGGGTATTTATACACATGCTTATAGTGCATGTATTTGTATAAATGGCGAAACATGCATCAGCATTGAGAAAACGGCAGCTGCATTTTGCTGCTTATACAACTGCACGCAATGCACTGAAGTGTGCGTAAGCTCATGTGTGAGCAGACTTGATTAATCGAATCTGCTCCAATGCATCAGATCTCCGTCGTGTCACAGCACAAAAATGTATGTGTATAAATGCCCTATGATTCTTTCATGGATGATTCTACACTAGATTGGGTGAAGTTAAGAATTTAAGGGTTTACGAGTTTGCATTTGTCTGTCCATTGCTTTCTTATATCAGTTTAACAATGTGAATGTGTCTTCTGTCTAAGTTTTTACTTAGGCAAACTTCAATTAAAATAGCTGGCAATCATCTTGTTGAGGGAGGAACAAAAAATTAAATGAAGCTTAATTCATTTAAGCTTCACCCTGAGTGCAGTGGTGCACCCCCTGCAAAAAGGCAGGTGGTCGCCTCTCACCACCCTGCCGTCGACACCGCCAGTGGCATCTGCAGGTGGTCCACGCCTGCCGCTGGCTGTTGCTGCCGGCAGCACGTACAGGTGGTCACTGACCCCTGGCCAGCGCTTGCCACCCCACCCCCTGCCCTGCCAATGACAGTGCCAGTGGCGTCTGCAGGAGCTCCCAGCTTACCGCCGCTGCACTCCTGCTGCCACACTCCCGCTGCCACCAGTGCAGCCGTGTCCCCACAGCCGCCGGGGGCACGTGCCATTCGTGCTCCCATCCACCTAGGGGAGGGGTGGAAGAGCAAGCAAGTCTGTCCAATAGCCAGCTGTCAGGGGGCTTTGTTGGGAACTCTGCTGCAAACACAGCCACTGTGACCAGAAGATCTGAAGCTCTGTTGGCTATGCAGCTGCCCCTGCCTGATTCTGCTAGACTGATGATTGGAAGGACTTGAAGGGGAAGCTTTGTCACTGCCACGTGGCCAGCAGAGCTCCAGTGAGCCCTTGCTCTAGCAGTCCCAACAAGATGCTCTACCCTATGCTGCCACTGCAGCTGCTAAAATGTGGGTTTTTGCCTGTAAGAACCCAAGCTCTGGGAGCTTTGGCAGCACTGTGTGGAGGCCTTTGCAGGCAATTGTTACCATCCCAACCAATGGAGGAGGCTGCAAATCAGTGGTTGCCACCATTGGGTGGGAGGGGCTTGATGCAACTAGAGGAAGCTGCAGCAAAGGGGCAGCCCTTGCTCAGCTGCCTCACTGACAGGCTCCCCTGGAAGGGAGACAGGAAGGGAGCTAAGGAGCAGCTTATGATCTGGCTGGAAAGCCTGCCTTTGAGGTGTCTTTATAACTCTCCAGCTAGGGCACTTGGGTGCCTGTATGCCCTTAAAGCACTACATTTTTGTAGTCTACAAAGTGCCGAGACACTGTGTTGCACTACAAATGAATGCCTGTCCATGCCCTAAGAGAGACTCTCAGAGGTTTACCAGAACAGCTGAATCTTGGGGCTGAATTTTAAGCCTTAGGGTTCTGATCCTAATGTCCTTATGTTCCAAAAACTCTCACTGGATGAACAGACATCAGGGTGCTCTGCTGTGTTGGGGATATCCAGAACAGAATGGCAACACCACTCACTTCTATAAACATGGTCCTTTCACCATCACCCCATGAGGAATCATAGTTAATTTAGTGGCAAAGTAGCACGATCACTAGGAATCAGGATTCCTGTCTTGTGCTTCACACTTTGCTATGAAATTTGTTATTCTCTGTATGGCCTAAACAAAGACCACTTGGCTTATCTATCACACAAAACAATACACACTCTAGAGCAGTGAGAGTGGTTCTTGAATTGTCTGAAGCGTAAAGGACATTTCAAGGATGAAAGATACTATAGCATAAGTCAAACAGTATTTCATTATGATATCCAGTGAAGGTGCATGTTGACAGCTTTTACTTCCTGTAAAATGTTTCTAAGAAAGAGAATTACTTACTGCCTTCCCACGTACAATGTAAGAGATTCAAAGCCCCCTCTACCCTCTTCCAGTGTTGAAGGTGAAAGAAAGCATATGCTATTGCTTCACTGTCCCCTCTCTTCAGAATGTGTTCAGGGGGAAGGATTAAGCTTTTCATTTCTAGCAGATACTGCAATAGAAAGGCAGAATGCAATTATTTCGGTAGTCATAACGCACACAATACTTGCTTGCATTTCTACACCTTGCATTGAATGATCTTTTTCCCTAAAGCACTGTCACTTATAAGTGTTTCATCAAACATGTAACATCATTGACTGCACTTGAAGATAATTATTGAATTATCCCAAAGACTAAAATATGCTAGCAGATGGTTAACATTGTGTTTTTCAGCTGTGCTGGGACCATAGAGAATTTTAAGATGTGATGTCTCTCTTATCAAATGGATAAAAGAAAGGGAAAATTGCACTACAGAAAGGGGGTTTAATTACAATAGCTTTTTAATTAAAATGTTTATACTAAAAGGTATGATATGAGAAAGTATTGAAAAGCCTAAAGAATCTAGCTTCCTTACAAAAAAAGAACAATACACAGAGCTCCTCCATAAAATTATTTAGTTAAAAATCA